TTACTAAAACACCTAAACTATCAGCACCACGAACATTTTGCTTTATGTCCAACTTTTAGTGTAGAATAGAAATACGGTATCAAATTGTAGACGCTTTTCCAAAGCCTCCAGCAAGGTCAAAGTAGATGCATCAAGGTGGCTTCTAGGACTTTGTGAAAACTTAACGCTACAAAATTATCTGAAAACTGTACTGTTACCAATACTTTTAGGGTTTTTAGGAATTCTGTTTTCTTTGTATAACTAGATAAGAAAATCTTGCATTGGTTAAAACCCCATTTGCGACAACTTTACCTAATTTTGCTTTTAAACGGAATTTAAAAGAAAAAAAATGTCCTAGGTAATTAAGTCAAATCTAACTAAGGTCAAATTTTACCCATTCGTAGTATCATATTTGTAAACAAATTACTGTACAATCCTAAATTAGATACAAATGTAAACAAGCATGTACTAAGATTTTAAGGGCACCGAAGAGGAAAAACAGCTTTGACGTTTCTCACCTGGTGCATTAATATTTATAACACGCAGGATTTTGTGATATGTACTAATGTACCAAACGCTTTTGGACATACAGAAGCTAATAAAATGTGCTTATATTATTATTTTTTATGATTTTATCTCAAGATAACGAGTTATTTAGTTTATTATCTCATAATACCAGAGCTTATTTTGTCATAATAATGATGTAATGTGTGATATATATATTTAGGGGAGACATATTTAGCTGTTTCAACCTAGAATGGCTTGAACTAAAGAGTATTTCAAAATCACAATTTACCAAAATGGGGTACTTCTGATCTGAGATCAGGACTGTCATGCTGGCAGCTTTTTCAGTCTCTGATCAACGTTTCTGATAAAGATCATCTCGAAGCGTCATGACAGCAAAACGATGAGTTAAGCAGCAGGGCGTGCCATAAGAACCACTCATTTTTGCATCGTAACTACCTCGTTATAAAATTTGTTTGGTAATCTGGAGATAAAACAATCCTCTCACAATCTTGAGAAAAAATGCATGAAAATTAATACCAGCGTGTACGACTTTTCTCAGCTTTCGTACTGGAAAGCTATAAACCTGTAGTGAGTTACAAAATGCTGGTCTAACAGAAGAGCTGCGACGCTTCCAGTCCTTCAAACAAGACAAACAAAATTAACAGGAGGTGACTGAAATCCAAACACAGCAAGGCTTTTTAGATAGAACGTAAATAATTGGTTGCTTTAACTTTTCTTACTTGTTTGTGGCTGGTATTGACTTCACACCCCTCTATTGATCACAGATAAGTAAATTATACTGAAATAATGTAAACTCATTAAAAAATACTTTTTTTTGTTTTATTTAATCATGGTAACAGTTCCTCCCTTTAAAGTTTTATTTGCATTCAAAGACACATTTCATGCAAATATTACAATGTTTCTTCTTTTTTTTAATAAACATGATTTCATGTTTGTCTTTAAAAGAAGCCTATTTTCTTTATATATATATATTTATATTATATATGATATATGTTTTTTTTTTTCAATGCATTTCCAGGGCAGGCACCTTGCACACCACGAGTACATGTCACTCTTGCATTGCTGTTTGCATTGTACAGTTGGTTGGCTGGCAGGCATAATGTCATCCAGACAGCGCTGCAGTTGGTACATATAATTTATGTCTGCACCAACTCATACCACACACACACACACACATACACACACACACACAGGTTATCCCTCAAAGTCCTCTGCGTCGCACCCATGCACACACAACCAAACATAATGTGCAACCTGGCACCAGTCTGTTTCTTTGCTACAGAGGCCTCTAGGATAGAAACAGGGTCTCGGACTGGTCCAGCAAGCTTTAAATACAGTAATTAAAGCTGTGCAACAAGGCTCTGGGGTACATGCAAACATGGAAAAAGAATGGAAGGGATCTTAGAGAGGATAAGTCTGTGGAGGGGGGCATTGATGTTGCTCAGGGTTGCAGATATATCAAATGAGAGGGAGAGGAAAAGGACAGCAATGCGTGAATAGTTGGTGTTGATTTTGTCTCAGATATATTGTTTGTTTTTTTTTCACTCTTTTTCATCTTTTGTGCTTTTTTTTGGTGGTTTTTTTTTTTCCTGAAATGTTACTTTTTACACATGTTTTGATGATACAGCTCAGGCTCAGTGTAGTGGGAAGCTGAATCTACTGCTGGTTGTTTGGTGGGACCGTGGTGATGAAGCGAGCCTTTATGGGAGAAACCTTTGCTACGTGAGTTTTCCACTCTACACACAATAAAAACAGAGGGTAGCTGGGATATGAATGCCAATAGAGCCCGTGCAGTTATGTCAGTATTGTTCATTCCATCCTGATGGATTGCAATCCCTTATGTATTGCATACAACTACATGTTTAGTGTTGTGTTTATACACATGGTTGTTTAAATGTTGTTCTCAGAGAGAAGGTTGGAACGAGACCTTCACATCACTCTAGAGATGGAGTTCCAAAGTTAGGGTCACTGGAACACAGCGCCACACCTTAAACCTTCATGCATGGGCTGCTGTTAAATCTCCTCAAGCCCTCAGAGCAAGACATCTCGACGTGTCTCTGTCTGCAGTTCCAGTCAGGGACAAGTGGAGGCATGTTCCATGGCCCCTACTAGAGTCAGATTCAGGCACCCTGCTGACCCGTATCAGTCCATCATCCAAAATCAATGCTACTTCCTCTAAAAGAGTCAAGTTTTATTGTCTGTTCAGAGCCAGGGCCATGGCTGATCCCAGCAGAGTCCATCTAAGAACCTCACGATACATTCATCTTGTTGTATGGGCCGAGATGGGGTAGAGGTAGGGCAGCCGACTTGGGACCAGAAAGTCACGGCTCGACTCCTCGCCACTCCCACATGTCGTGGTGTCTCTGAGCAAGACACCTAATCCCTAATTGCTCCCTGGGCGCTTGCATAGCTGCCCACTGCACCACCTGGGTGCATCCCAGGTGTGATGGGTTAAATGCAGAGAACTAATTTTGCCATTGTATGGGAACATACAATGATGACAACACATGGCACTTTATTATGTTAGTAGTAGTGGACCTCCAAATTGAGTTGTGGATTTCTGACTTGTTTGTTTCAGATGTTTGGGAGGAAACTATGTAAATGTTTGCCAACCGTGAGATTTTGCTGATTTCAAGGGGAATCTCCTATTTTTAACAGGAATCACACAACATTTAAAAAAGCCAACCAAGGAAGCTTGCCGTACAATAAACGCAGATCGCGTGACGTCTGACTTCAGCTGCCCGGGCTCTATGTATGGGTTTGGATGTTTATTTGCTGTTTGTGCTCAGTTATGTACTGTACATCTGCAAGTATTGCTAGTAGTTATGTCTTACCCAAGTTGTTCCCCAATAACCTGGATTAAGTGTGAAGGGTAGACTGCAGCTACTCGGTCGTCGTCGTACTTTGGACTGTAAAATTTGCATATTTAAATGTGGAAATTTAGATTATAAAATTACAAATTATCGTCATGTATTCAAAATGTTTAACTAGACTTTTTTCGATAAACAGTTTAGAGGTACACATAGAAAGCAGTTGTGTTAAGTTGTGTAATATTTGACTTTTAGCAAGTGAGCGTCAGATGTTATTTGACAACCATCTTTGCCTCGTCAATCAACATACACACAACGTGACATAATCACCCACACACACACACAGAGAGGCTCTAACATGCAGCTTTGTTATTTAGAGATTTGTCATTGTGTAACAACACAGTAAGAAAGCTTCACCCTCCCCTCACCCTCAACCCGTCAGAGATCCTCTACACAGCTCCAGTGAGAAAAGGAGAGAATAATTTATCCATGAAATTAATTTAAAAGGAGGTGTGGATCCATTTATTTAATCAATGAGGAGAGGAAAGAGGATTTTCTGTGTGGATTTATTTTCTAGTGACCATCCTGTCTTCCTTTTCCTCCACAGTGGGGAGCAGCTATGCACCCTCGCTGTGCTTCAATATGTTGTCTTAAGAGCCAAATGATGTGTGCGTGACCAGGCTTTGTACAAACACACACAGTGACTCGGCAAGATCATTGTAAAAGTGTGTATAAGCACACTCAGCACTTTCTCCCCTCCCAAAGAAACCATATCTGCACCTCCCATCCCATCCACACCCCAGTGCAGCAGAATGCAAATTTCCTATTGCGCTTGAAGCCATCAACTGATTTCTGCTGTGAGCAAAGTAAGAGAATATTGGTTGGACATCGGAAGGGAATGAAGTGTTGAGGGAGGGGTCTGAGGCCCTGACTACACTACTCCATTGTTTTTCTGCTATTTGCAGAAAAATTTAAAATAAAATAAATCCAGCCCCCCACCAAAGATGACAAAAACCCTGAAATACTCATGCCACACCAGTAGGTGACAACAACGTCCACAATGACTGCATGTAAAATACAAGGAAATAAAAATAAATTCAAACCAGAGCAAGTGGTTCTACCAGAGCAACTCGTCCTCTTGTTTTGGTATCATTTACAATTTATTTTCAACGGATTAGCTTTGCAGCACGTAAGCTAAATTTAATGACGGCAGTTGCAGGATTAAGCTAGTCAGATGTAGGAAAACGGTAAAATTTGTGTCGTTCTTGTTGTCCATGCTCAGTACAAATCCAAAGGCAGCGTGCATGCAGTGGGCTGCAGTGCAACTGTGCCTAAAATCATCATTTGACAATACATTACAGATTCAGACCAACCTTTGAAATGGTTTGTAAAAAAAATCTGTGTACGAGAGGTACAAATGCAGCAGAGAAAAATATGTTTAGCAAAATATCTGTGTAGTGTAGACAGAGCCTGAGTAATATAATCTTGAGAGATTAGGGACTGCAGAGGGGGTTTAGTTAGATGTTTTCCAAAACTTCATTTTTTTGTTATTTTTCCCAAAGTGGAAGCGAAGGGGTAGAGATAGAAAAACTAGTTTAATAAAACAAAAAAATAATCAAACTCTTATTTAATATTTAAAGTATAATACAAAAATAACAGCAACAAAAGCATAATATTAAGCAATAAAAAAAATGTTAGTGACTTTACAATGAAAGAGTAAAAGTGTTACTCAAAGATTTCTCTAAGGACACAAAATAAATAAAAGCTGAGAGGAGAGGATGCAGCTGGGGCTCTAAGGTAAAGAAGGGATTTGCTTTCTTTGTCCCTTTTTTCCTCCATTTCCATCTCCATCTTTTTTCTCCCCGTCACCTTTTTTACTCCTCGTGGAGCTGCAGGCGGTAGCGGCTGTGGCGGATCTGGAAGAAGAGCCTCTCCAGCGGCGAGCGGCTCATCCCAGGTAGCCGGTGGTCCTCGCTCTGGCTCGTCCTGTAGAAGCCCAGCGACTCGTACAGCTTGTGGGCAGCCAGCTTGACGGCGGTTGTTCCGAGGACCACGGCGGTGTAGTTGTTGCGGACAGCGTACTCTAGAACGCGACGACCCAGGGCCTTTGCGATGCCTTTACCACGATAGCGGGAGTCCACTGACATGCGCCTCAGCTCCACGGTGTTGTCGTCCTCGTGACCTTGCGCCGCCACGATGCCCACCACACGTCCATCAAGGACTGCCACCCAGAAACAAGAGCCTGACAAAATAAAAGAGAAAACATTTGTAAACATAAACCTTTTGAAACAGTTAGAAATAAGCACTTAAAGGAATAGTACCAATTTTTATAAGTGGGTCCCTGTGGATGAATAACTATTGATCAGTAAATTGAATTAACATCAAGTCAAACTGGAATCTATTCTATCACAGATTTTGTCCATAAACATCTCAAACTTAAAAAAAGTAACAGTTCAAGCAACCACTATGTTATAAATTTGCACACCTCAATACTTTACTATCAGATAGTACCAGGAACACAGTTTGTTTCGCTCAATGTATTTCAATAAACCAAGAAGCATTTTCAACATGGCTGCTCTCCAGGTTAAATAACAAGAGACTTGTGTAAATAATTATTAAAAGTAAAAAATAAAGTGTTAAGAGTTTACAATAAAGCATCCGCTTGAACAGCTATGAAAGTTGAGGTTTCAGTTTGTTTGAGGTGGCTGAATTTCACTTTGGAACAGACCACAGACTGAACAGCTTTAACAGGAGTCCTCAGTAATAGTTTATTTCTGATTCTCTAAACTTTTTGATCGCTGTCTACTTTGAGTAACTCCTAACTGCTGATAGCTGCTTCACAGAACTGTTTTTATTGTAAAATTTCTAGATATTTTTTAAATGTTAGTGACAGATGCAAAGATTTAGTCTTATAAACTAATAAATATTATCAGCGCTGCTTATCTGATTAACCAGCCTATTAGGTTAACTCAATAAGACAACTAGACAAGACAGAAAGATAGAAACAGTGGAAGGGATGGAGGGATTTGTTGAACAAGTAGTATCTGAATGGTGCCAATTGGCATTCAATAAGACTCCACTGAATAAAACTGTAAGACCCTTCACATTGGATGACTACCTGAATGGAAAAGATTTAGCCAGAATTTGAATGGTCTTTGGAGATTCTTGTAGTGTGTACGGGGTCCTGGTTGAATCATGGTAAATGGACTGTATTTATATAGCGCTTTTCTATCTTATCCAGATTCTCAAAGCTCTTTACACTACAATCTGTGCCCTCATTTACCCATTCATACAGCACTCTACTAGATCTATACAAATAATAATCAGTGTTTTATCACATTCATACACCGACGGGACACACATCGGAGGCAATGAGGGTTTCCAGTGTCTTGCCCAGGGACACTTTGGCATGAGACTGCTAGTGGAATCAAACCCCCAATTCTTGCATTGGAGGACGACTGCTCTAACCACTCAGTCCCAGCCGTCCCATGGGCCCAGAATCATGGTGGTAGTGGTGGCAGATTATCCATAACTAGGGACTCGTGCACTCATGCACACGAATGTGGCGCAGTAGTTCAGAGTCTGAAGCAAGAATGGTTTCAAATTGGGAGTCTCTACTTCAAGCAGTAGAGTTCAAGTATCTCTGAGTCTTGGTTGGTGGTGGGGGGGGGGGCGCGTTGTGAATTGACAGATCTGCAGTAATACGAGAGCTGCTGAGTTTTAAGGCAAAGCTTTCGATTTATTGATTTATTGATTCATCTACGTTCCAACCCTCAACTTTGGTCATGAGGAGTGAATGATGACCAAAAGAAGATCCTGGATACAAGCGGCTGAAATAAACTTCCTTCATAGAGTGGCCGGGCTTAACCTTAGACATAAGGTGAAGAGCTCTGACATCCATGGGGAGCTCAGACTAGAGCTGTTGATGAGTATGTCTCCAGGGTTTTCCAGCATGTCCCACTGGAAGGAGACCCTGGGGCTGACCCTCAATTTGCTGAAGGGATTAGATATCCTCTCTAGCCTGGAAAGAACTTGGGATCCCACTGAAGCAGCTGAAGTGTCGCTGGGTAAAGGGATGTCTGGGTTTACCTCCTTGCCCTGTTGACTCCACAGCATGAACACAGATACGGGTAAAAGAAAAAGGGTTGTAAGCTCAATCATCCAGGTAGATAACAACAAAAAAGGTTAAATCATGTCATCTGGACCAGTCTCTTCAAGTGAGAAACATTTCATCTCCCATCTGGAAGACTTCGTCAGTCTGTGGCCTGCCAACCAGATCTGTCCCATAGGTAGGCTTCATGGCTGTGTTTCAAGCCAATCTCTTGGAATCTCAGAAACAGGCTTTGAACACTTGCAAACAGGGCACACACCCATTCGTCCACCGTCCATCCACCCATCAGGGCACACCCGTCCGCACGGATACGGGTAATTGGCATAAAATGAATGGTTTTGCTGACGGCATGCCTAGGTTACGACTGCGAATGTGGAAACAACTTAGCTCAGACTTGATACTTGCAACAGAAGCATTGTGCTAGTCTGGCATGAACTTCTAGTAGGTATAGCTGAATCGTGATGCAAGATGAGAGAGTTTGGGTCAAACACTAGAGTGCAGTAGCATCATGAGTCCTTCATAATGATGGAGGTTTTCATAAAATCGTCAGGATTCAGTAACTTTCTAAAAGATCATGTAGGTCATGGAGAGCTTAGTGCAACTGTGTACCGGTAGTTATTTTTTAGGGATTACAGTCACTTCAGATTTAAGTGGAATAAAGAAGATGACAGAGAATGTTTTGAACATTGTTTCAACTGTTTTCATTTTTTCAAACCCTGTTTTTAATGTCATATTTGGATCAGATCAGGATGTACTGCACTGGGGACTTGTAGCACTGAATAAACCAAACACTATAGTGACTGACAGGCAAAAGATTGATACTCATCATAAGTTTTGACAAACACGGTTAAAGTAACCTGTTAGGAGACACTACACCTCTGCCAGAGAACCATTTCAGGGCTTTGTACCAACCCTTTCTAAGGCTGATCTTTATCTGAGCTGCGCTTCTTAGATGTTCAATTTGACACAGCGATTAGGATAACGGGTTATTTGATTTTCATCCATGATGCATTTTTCACAGCTAGTAAAGCAAATGAGCTCCTTTCAGTCTCAAATCAGTGTGAATAAAAATCTCAAAATCCTTATTTAATTTGAAATTTTCATCAAGCTTCCAAAGAATGGTGGAAATTAAACATCAAAGGTGATGAATGTAGGAAGTCAGCTTGTTCTTCGTTTTGAAATCTCTGTTGGATCATGGAGATTTTAAACCACTTTACTGTGTTGATTCAGACTCTTTCAAAGAAAAGATTACCCTTTGCTTCCCACTCTAACCACCAATGTGTTGTTTTACAATCGTTATCACAGTTTTGTATCAAATTCCCATCTGTTTGTTAGAGATTAAGACTATTCCCTGACCTGCAGACCTGACGTTCGTTCACTCTGAATCCTAATTTTCTGAACTGACCCTCTCTTTCATGCTTTTACACAACACCTGTCTTTGCTCCTGCTGAATATCTCACAGAAACGGGTGATAATGGCCGATTATGGTTATGGCTGATTACAGGTGATTACTTCTTGTGGAGTCCCACATGTTAGCAGGGATTTGATGCCCTTGTAGACCTGCATTAAGCTGATCCTTCTGTTACAGCATCAAACAACTGAGATACGTAGGTTTCAGCAGCAGCAGGAAAGCCCACATTGTTCCTCTTGCTCTCCTAGAGTGCAATCAGTGGTCCACTTTTTAAAAATAGGAAGAAGCCTACTTTGCTCATGTGCTAAACTGCAACATCCAGAGCATTCAGTATAAATACAAACAGCATGTAAGAGGATCATGTTGCCCGAACTGAGATTTTATTTTATTTTAAATATCAAAGCAGAGAAGCTCTGACAGAAGAGAAATGTTGCCTCTACAGAAAAGTGGGTCAGATGACTATGCAGTTTGCTCACATCATCTTTTTTTTTTTTTAAGCCAGAATAAAGCTTTGCATAACAATAATTTTGGATCGTTTTTAAAAAAAATGCAGGACTGTTCAAAAGTGTTAAGGCATCCATACCTTCTTTATGTTTGCTTCCAGACTTTATTGTGATCTTTTAAAGCCATATTAGCTGCCAAAATCTGCTATTTTGATTGTCATCTTTTGTATCATCTATGAGAAAAAAAAATAACCGCTACCTAAAGCCTAGCACATGTCATGTTTTGTTGCCAACAATTCTGAGTCGTTTGTTTAGACTGGAACATTGACATACTCAGGATAGCCTCGGTGTGGGATGGATGTAAAGTTGGTCAAATAAATCCCCAAAGTAAACAGAGGGAGAGCAACAGAATCGGAGATGCCAGGTGGAAAGCAAAAAAAGTAAAGGTTTTCTCTCTTCTTATGAAAAGAAACAGAAACTAAAAAAAGGCTATAAAAGACAGAAGCAGTCATTCTTGACCGGGAAAGTTTCTGTAACTGATAGCCACATTTAAACCAAGACAAGAAATATTAAAAAAAAAAATTTTAACCTAATTTTTACTAGGAGTGCACCGATAAATCGTCCGGCCCGGGATTTATCGGCCCCGATTTCCTTAATTTTGGAAAATCAGCCAATACTTGCATGAGAAACCGATTTGAAGGATTTTTTATAGTTTTAACAACAATTGTCTGAACTTCATTTATATTTCAGAGCACTACCTCATGGCCAGTTAAAACAAGTTGTACAAATAAATTGGTATGGTATGGTATGGTAAGTTTGTGTTGTTTCTAGGATATTGTTCAAGGGTATGTTTTTCAATAAAATAATATTGAGAAATTGAAGGTTTGTTGTGACCTTATAACACCTCAGTGTCGCTTAGAAAACAAAATCAGTATCAGCCAAAATCGGAATCGGCAGGTCAGACTTTTTAGAGATCGGTGAGCGGCCAGAAAACTGCAATCAGTGCACCCCTAATTTTTTTCTAAACCCTGATAAATGTATTAAATTTACCACAAAACAATCATTTAAACATGTAGAAATTGCGTTAAAACCAATAAAAATCCTAATCAAAACTGAAACATTGCGTAATTTGAGAGCCATTTTGGCTTTAAAGTGATTCTGATCATCAATTCTTTAGGCTATAAAAGCCTTTCAGAGATTTTTCTTTGAGCTTTAGTTATTTAAAAAAAAAACACACATTTTCAATCCAGTACCTGACTAGCATTAGGTAGTAGCTG